CAGAAAATAAGTGGTCAAAGGTGAATTCATGATTGGCACCATGTCCAATTCCGCTGCAGGCCCAACCAAACAGGATATTGAGGCAGTGTTTCACCGCCTACGTGCCCAACCTGCCAATAAAGTAAGCACATACATAGTATGCTGATAACTAAAGCAACAACAAAAGACACCTGACTGGTGTTTTTTTTTTCTTTACAATTGGTAATGATGACAAGTGGCTAATTTTGAAGATGAAAATTTAAATAAAAAATCGAACTTATTTTCCCTGCCGTATATTCACTGCGAGAAAGAAAGCTTAGTACTATTACAGTAGCTTAAATTATTCCAAGCAATAGCCGAAATTTTTTGATTAAATTAACATTCTCTATAGGCTTGTTTTGACTGCTCTGCGAAGGCACCCACTTGGTCATCAGTTACATATGGCATTTTTATATGCATTGATTGCTCTGCAGTACATCGCAACTTGGGAGTGCACTTGACTTTTGTACGTTCTACAAATCTGGACACGAACTGGACTTGGTTACAGTTACGTCAAATGCAGCTTGGTGGCAATGCGAATGCAGCACAGTTCTTCAGGCAACATAATTGTGTTACCACCGACGCCCAGCAGAAGTACAATTCGCGTGCGGCCCAACTGTATCGTGACAAGTTGGCAGCTATGGCACAGCAAGCAATGAAAGTGCATGGCACGAAGGTATGCAGCAAAATCTGATGGGGAAAAGTGTTACAGTTCATTTTTTGTAAATTTACTTTTTTCGTATTGTTTGATTGATCTTTTATTACTAAACTTAACATTTTTAAATAGTTTTTCGCAATGTTTATGAAACGATTTCCTTTATTCTACTAATTGCATACGTAAAACATTTACTACTATACATATACTTAACACACCTATATATGTATGTGTGTATGTTTGCTGTTTACTGTACTGCCTCCCTGGCACATATAGCTACACCTGGAGAATACTGCGGACAAGGCCGATGGAAACGAGTCAAAATCAACCACTGACGCTGAGGAGGACTTCTTCGCAGAGTGCATTAATGACAATAATAAGAAAACACTATTCGAAAACAATAACAGTGAGCAGGAAGTGAAGGTAAATAGATAGTGAAATACGTACATATAAACATACCTTTATGCATTTGTAAGCATGTGAATTTGCACACTACACTAAGCTTTGTTATTTACTAACTGTCGTTATTGATTTCTGACAGCGTATCGTATTTAATGTCTAAAAATAAAAAAAAACTCGTTTCAGCTGGACATTCTACCAAAAGCCATTACTCCGACGCTTTCTAACGACAAACCATCGACCGAGTCGCTTAGTGGAGGAGCTCCTAGCGTAGACTTTCTGAATTCCGTTGTACCACCGACGGCTGTTACACCTTCTATAGGCGTGCGAAAGATACAGCCAAAAAAATCAGGCGTAAGTATTTTAAAAATGTTTATAGTTTTAAAAGTTTAATCGTTTCTATAATGCTGCAGTTGGGTGCTCGCAAAGGTGGTCTCGGCGCTACCAAGGTGAAGACAAATTTTGCCGAAATAGAGCAACGCGCAAATTTGGCCAATCAATGCAAGGAAGCGCCGATAGTGTCTGATAAGACCAAATCTGCTGAAGAGGAACAAGAGTCAGTGGCTAGCATGCGTTTGGCATACAAGGATCTATCCATTCAAAAGAAACGCGAGGAGGATAAATTGAAATCCATCGACCCAGCTAAGGCAAAACAAATGGAGCGTCTCGGCATGGGTTTCAGTTTGCGCGGGTAAGCAGTTATCTCATAGGTAAATTATAGGCTTTATTTATTTAATCTTCTACTTTTATGTAGAGCGGATGTCTCACATTCAGCCCTAAGTGATATGGAAACTATAAAGCAAACGTCTGCACCCAAGAATGGACCATTACAAAACAAAAGTTCTAATATCGGCAATAGTGATGATCTAGCAGACATTGATAGCGTTTTTGGCGAGTACTCTTGTGCGCTATATATCGACAATATTGGCATTGGTGGCGGCCGCAGTGGCAGTAGTGCCGGCAAAAGTTCGAAAATAGATAAAAGTGAGCTGGAAATGATGGGTTTTGAGTCGATAGAGTCAATTGGTGGTGGACATTCCAATATAACATCGATGTTCGCTGGTGGAGATGGTGATGCTAAGCCAACAAAGACTACAAAGCCAGCGCAGTCTGCTGGCGCCTATGCATCTAAGTCACAATTGAAAAATGTCGATGATACATCGGCGCAACAAAAGTTCGGCAGTGCAAAGGGTTTCGGTTCGGATCAGTTTTTTGCCAACGACGCAAATCAATTAGAAAGCAGGAAAGCTAACTTGTCGCGTTTCCAAAACTCTGATAGTATATCATCATCGGAATATTTTGGTGGGAGCAGGAACGGACCTGACGGGTTGGGAAATCGTGATTCGAGGGGTATGTACGAAGGAGAAAATAAAGTAATATAAATTTACGTAAATTAATTAATATACGATTTTCCAGGCTATGCCACCGGCGTCAACTTCCAGGCACCCGATTTGGATGATGTTAAGGAAAGCGTTCGACAGGGTGTACACAAGGTTGCTGGCCGCCTGAGTTCGATTGCAAATGATGTTATGTCATCGATTCAAGATAAATATGGCTACTGATAAAAAGTGTCTGGGCGTGTTGTGCTTAGACGCGGTTTCCATTTATTATACATGATTAATATTTTCGCTTAAAAGCGTGCAAAGAAGCATACATTATTGTTCAAGTTGAAAATGAAAACAAAGGAAAAAGAGAAAAATTCATTTATAGGCCTTTAAATTCCAAAAGAAAAACAAAGACATTCAAATATGTATTTAAAATAAATAAAGCACAGCAAAGAAATTGTTTTCTAAACTGTCCAAAGACACTCGTAAACCAACCAAGCGCCCATTTACGCAATTAAAACCAAGAAAAAAAGAAATGTTGTATAACTCCTTTTAAATGCCATCAGACCTAAACTAATTCCGCGCCATTTGAAATTTCATAAAAGTGCTTATAATCCTTGAGCCACACACTTTTGCGATTACCCTCAATTTTGATTTTTGCTTACAGCTATCAATCGTAAATGAGTAAATACATAAGTCTCAATAGGCGCTATTTTCGAACGTATTTACCAACTTGTTTGCAAAATAAATTTCAACGGTAGCAATGCAATGTAGAGAACACCATTAGTGTATAAGATGAAAATCATATGCGTACATATTCAACAATACCATACACATACATATATACGAGATTTTAAATCGATTTCTTTTAATTAAAAAATTATTTCAATTACCAACTGCTACGAGTATCTGTATAATTTTGAGCTTGGCCACCAAAATTGGACTTCGAAATTTTTAATTACACGTTTTGGATCTTCCACTTAAATCCCTTTCTCTTTTTTACTTTTGTTTGTTTATCTCTAAATGCTCGAGAGCTTTATATATTACAAAGGGGATACATTTTTTACACTATACTAGAAAAGTTAAGTGTTATTGATTAAAATTAATTTTTGTGAAATATTTTATGATATATTACTAAATTATATACATACATATGTACATAAATGTTTGAATAAAAATCTTCTGAAATGCATGTATACTAAGGATAAAGGCAACACTTTGAATTCAGCTAAAGAAAATTTAGGCTAAAAATAAAAAAATCCCGTAAAGGGAACAAATTCACCTCTCCAGGAAAATTCACCTCTCCAGCCAGAGACAACTACACCACAACTCTACCTCCATTAGATGCAACACATGCAATGGGTGGAGCCACCTCCGAGTTTTCTCAGGCCTTACGACTCTATGCAGTGGACCACACTTATACGTGGCCCCTTGCTGCAAAAATCGAGCTGCCTCTATGGCACAACAGAGTCCGCCGAGCAACTCATCACAAACACAACCGCACCACAACACAATACAATAGACAACACCACTGGCACAACAGACCACACCACCGATACAACTGCACCACCAGCCACGCCAGGATATTCCGTAATGTGACATCAGTCAAGTGCAACATTTGCCGTGCTGGTCGGTCGCAAATTCCAAATACGACGTCGCCCACTATCACCACAGGGCAACAGCCTCTGCAGCAGCAAGTACAGCATATGGCGCCCCGGCAACGCACCTCATATTCCAATAAGTCTCCCTAGGCACACGAAGATTCGTCGGTCGGCACGGAATATTAATAACTGCGGTCCAAGAGACGAAGCTGCATGGCAATTCAACATTCTAAACAATTCGACATTCTGCACAATGAACGACGACACACCCACAAGGATTATGGGCAGCTGCTGCAGCTCGCCAGACCTAACAATAGTCAGCGCTGGTCTGATAAACAGCATATCATGGCGACCTATGCTGACTTTAGCATCAGACCATCTGCCCATAGTCATCTCTATTGATAAACCAGCCAAATTTGCTTTCGCGGATCACCGGACTTATGTAAACTTTTCTAAAGCTGACTGGAAAGGCTTCGCGGATATTACTGAAAACACCTTCACTGCCCTACCCGCAGCAACCGACGTTTACGTAGGTGAGCGTATGTTCTGCAGGATTGCCACTGCTACTGCAGCCCGCTTCGTTCCAGCGGAATGTATATCGGTCCGAATTTCATTACTGAAGCGGCTGTACTAGCCGATGAGCGTGACAATCTTCGTCAGGCCGATCCCGGAAATCCCCGTATCAGAGATCTCAACTCGGAGCTTTGGCAACTTGTGAAAGTACATAAGCGGAAGAAATGGGAAGAGTATCTGAAGACCTGCGACTGAGTAAGCTTTTGTCAACCGATCCAACTCCACGAAGCATGTTGAAGCAGTTGAAATAGACTCTAGAGCCCACGCTTCGTCGGACCCGGAGTGATACGCGAGCTATTTTAGCCGGCAGTTCATACTGTATTCTCCGACGGATAAGCCAAACGTCGTGTGACCAGAAGGCTGCACAAACGCGCCTCTTGTTTTCACCAGCCGTGAGGTAAGGGTAGCCATCAGGAAGGCGAAAGCCTCCAAAGCCATTGGACCCGACGGAATTTGCATGTTGATACTGAACAATTTTTGGTCCCGCTGGAGTGGATTATTTAACTACGGTCCTCAACCTGTCATATAAGCTATAACTTTTCGCTTGAAGCAGTGGATCCCCAACTATCTATGCGATCATCGGTCGAATTCCAAAACATCAAATCCAAACTATTAAAAAAATGGTCCCGAGGACACTCTTTGTTTGCTGGTATCGTTCTCTTTCGATTATACTTTTTGGGCAACGTGTAAGAACAGACTACAAGTTACCGACATTCGCCGAGAGAAAATACCCACCTCTACGAACTTTCAACGTGTTGCATGGTAAGAGCTTCAGTTGCCTAGAGAGATGCGCGCAATGGTCTAGACACTGCAGTAAGTCTGATCTTCCCTTATCCATATTCGACCCGGACATACTCATCATACCTACGCTATATGAAGGAACCACTCCTAGACTGGCGAAAAAAGTAGTCGTGAGACTCCAGGGTTGCTTTAAAGTTGAAATAGCCAGTGCTCCATAAAGTTTCGGATAGAAGTTCCTGTACATTTCGAGGTTGTTTTTCCTTATCCACGCTGACCTCGCAAAAAGTCGACTTTCACAGCTATGTTTCTCAATCCCATCAATACTGGCAGTCAGATTTGTGAGAAAAGGGGGAGATCAATGTGTGATGTGAGCTTCGGTAAAACAACTCCTTTGGATGCGTACTCTCAAGCTTCTAATGGATGATGGAACCTCGGACCTCAATTTAAAGGAAGAAATTTATGCTTTTTTGTCTGACCAAACTTCCTTCGAAGAAGTCTCTCGTTTATTTCATGGCAACATTAATGGACGTGGCCGTTACGCCCTACATTAACCGCTGATAATGCATAAATGCATTGCAAAAACTTAATAAACCTAATGAACATTTCATTCTTTCGGAAACAATGTGTGTTTTTTCGCTTTGGAGATTTTCTCCTCTGGTTTACCCCCCAAACTTTCCCTAATCTACCGTTTCAGCAAGAAAACTCATTAATTTTTAAGGATAAAAGATTTTTATTTGTCAGTTTTTGTTTTTTTTTTGTGGGGTCGTCGTGTACAATTGGGCTAAGAAGGTAAAAATAAAAAATAATTATTAATAGAAACAATTGTTAAAAGGGTTTTACAAGTAATTCGTCGTGGCATTACATTATCAAGTCATTTGCGTTGCACTACTGGGTAATGATATTACAAATTTTTTAAATTCTATTTCATACGCGACAGATTTTTAGTGACGTCTGCTGGGGCGCAAGTGAGTGCGTGCTTGTTCAGGATTGCCATAGGCGATGGCGTGGCTAGTGGCGGCACCACCCTCACCAGTGCTGAAGGAATTGGCAATGGCAATGGCTCCACCGGTAGCGCCACCGAAGTCGACGGGGAAGAAGGTACCAGCCGGCAGAGGCTTAGCCTTTGAGCAGCCGGCGCAACCAGCCTTCGCGGGCTTTTTGGCAATTGGACGGCGAGCAGGCACCTTGGGAGCGACTGGCACTGGAGCGTAAGCATCGTCGCTTTCCTCGTCGACATCGTCATCATCTTGAACAGCCACAGCGTTCTCGGCATCATCTTCGGATTCGGCAGCTTGTTCCAATTCAACGATGACCTTCTTCTTGGCTGGCAAGTAACGTCTGGCGGGCTTAGCGGCAACAACGGGCACAGATGGGGCAACTGGTTCGATTGGTGCTGGAGCAGGCAAGTTAATGCTCACGTCAATACCCTTAGAAGCTGAGACACTGCCGGCAACAGGAACTTCGGACTCGGCCGCACCGGAGACACCAACAGTAACGGTGGCAGCACCAGCATCAGCGCCGGCGGCACCGGCAGCGGGGGCAACAGGTTCAGCACTCCCGACCTCAGCAACTGTGGCAGCTTCACCAGCAAAATTGTGCTCAAGATCAGCGCCTCCAGCAACATGACCAGAAACTGGAACATCGTAGCTATATTCGCGGGCTTCCTTAGCTTCGTCGTCGCTCACCTCAGCGCTGGCAGGATCCAAATCAACCTGGACGGTTATTTTGTGTTGTTCTTCTTCAGGCACAGCCACGGGCCCAGCGGGATAGGCTTCAGCAACAGAGTGGGCGACATGGGCACCAGCAGCGGCAATAGCATCCTCTTGCACTTCGCCAGAAAAGCTGGCAGCTTCAACGGGAACAGAGGCAGCGGCAACACCATCAGCGGAGCCTGTGTGAATACAATCTTTATTGGGCGTTTATGATATATTCATAGAGGTGGTGGATAGATGAAGGTGTTGCAGGTAAATGTCAGAAACGGAAGCGTTTAACTCACCCTGCAGATAAGTGCCGGTAGCGACAGAATCACCAGCCACAAGCGCGGCTGCAGCTTGATGAGAGCGGGCATTACCGTACGAGGGTTGCACGTAACGCATGAACATCATGCGCTGTGGAGCGGCATAGTATTGAGCCGCAGCGGGCTGTGGGTAGTAGGCCAACCCTAGAATGGTGGTGATGGCAGGGGAGGAGTTGGGAAAGATCGAGAAACATTATATGTTAGTATTTTATTTTATTTTTAATTAATCGTGGAAAAGTAAAAAAAAACATATATTTTTTTTGTTTAAAGAAAAAGTACATTTTACTTTTCACGCATTTTTAGTAAAGTAAATTATATTTATTTAAATAACAATATTTTAAATATTACGTTAAATTAAAAATTTGTCGTTTTAACACAAAACTAAATAAATTTTCAAACCTATTTTTAAAATATTATTTAAACAAAAAAAAAATATGTTATATTATTTTTTTTTTAATAAACGAAATTTTAAAAAATCAATAAAAATATATATTTTTTCAAAGCAAAAAAAGTTCAAAAATTTTAACTTTTGCAAAATGTTGAGAAAGAAGCACAAAAACATCAATTTTTTCCAAATAAATGTAATACAATTTTTCAAAACAAATGTTTAGCAAATATGCATTTATATATTGACATAAATTTTTAGCCAGTAGTTTAAACTAAGATATTTTTGAATGTGTAGAAATGTTTATTTCAGGAGCCTATTTTTTCGAATTTTTTTTTTTCGAAGAAAAATAGTTTATAAATTTTCTAGGAATCAAATAAAAATTTTAATCCCCAAATACTAGATTTCTCTTAAAAGCTATGTTTATTAGTAAATTATTTAATTTACTTTACAAGAAAAACTTGAAAAAAGCAGATATATCTTTTTAAAATTCTTATAGCAAAATACTAGTTAAACTAGTTAAAAACTATTTTTTTGAGAAAAATATTTAATTTACATTACAAGGAAAACAATTTAAACCAAACAAAAGTTTAGAGATTTTAATTTTAATCAAAGTACATTTTTTGCAAAGTAAAAATAAAAATCAAAGCAGTAGCTAAGAAATTTTAAACGAAAACAGCTATAAAAATGCAAATATAGACGCAATTTTTTATAATTTTTTGAAAATAAAAAATATCTGGACTTTTTTGAAAAAAAAAAAATTAATTTTACTAAAAACACAGCAGTTTCCAAAATAAGTTTTTATTTTTAATTTTACACCACGAAATTATTTAAAATTATTGTTTTTAACTTTTTTTTTTTTTTTTTTAATTTATCAGTGAAACATACTCTTTTTGGCGGGCAAAGCCTGACTGCAGGCCACTAAGCCGCAGATCACAATTAAAGCCAGCGTTGCGTTGAATTTCATTTTGTACACTTTCAAGTTTTTGTTGTTGTTGATAAGAAGTAAAAGCACAAGCGAATGCAAAACAGTTAACTTTTATCCTTAAAAAATGGTGGAATAGTTTTTATTTTCAAATCGAATTAAAAATGTTCACTTCACTCGTAAGACGCGAGAGTTCGGAGCTAAACTTTGCACTTAAGTTTCCACCAAAGAAGTGATGTCTTTCCAACGATGCGCGTTAGATTTATATACGAAAACGGGCCGCATACAAATATGTATACGAAATAGGCAACGTGCCGCAGCGGACATTGTATGAGCAGCTGGACAGTGGGCGACAAATCAAAAATGCGAAAAAAGCAATAATCGAAATCGTACGCGATTTGTTAGTAGTAACCAAGTGGAACGCAGTTTTTGTTTTATAATTTTTCGTCAATTTTGTTTTTATTTTATCGTAGAGTAATTGACAATTACGCTACTCCTCCGGCTGTGGTGGAGGACTATTTAGCATGCAGGCAATGTTCTCGGAGTCGGAATCGAGCGTCGCTGCGTTATTGCCCGCACACCGCCTACCAGTAGTGGCAATTGCTGCTACCGATCATACGGCAACAACAAACATTATCGGTAGACGAGTGAGAGTACGATCGGCGATATGTGTGTATTCCATGTTCATGCGTCGATTTTTGGTTTTGCGGCAACGCGCCTGCGCTATTAAGGTTGGCGATTTTTGCACATGCTTGCGCTTCTACCGTCAACCTTGCGCTTGGTTTTGATTTCTACAATTTTGCGTAGATTTCATTAAAGCAAATTATGTCCACTGGGAATTTTTATTAACTACTTTGGCGGTATATTTAGAGTATTTAATATTTTTCCTTATTATACATATGTACATACATAGAGTTTTTATTATAATTTTCAATATACTAATCTTTTTTTTTTTGCGTACTCAACAACTATCTACGAACCATGATAAAAACATAGCAAGGTGGAACCGTTCTCTCAATTTGTCGGCCATGATTTTTTCTTGAAGTTTGCCAACATTTTAAAATCATATAAAAGTGCATGGTGTAATAATAACAAGGTGTTGTCAGTAACTTAACCTCACTTTTTCGGCAGGTCTATTCCGGTCACGCATTTTAAAGTACTAGAAAAGGTACTAATTATTTACTACCTTTAATCCATTGTTGCATACTACTTCAAATTAAATGTAGGAAAATATATAATTACAGGCTTATAAGCCTGAATATATGTTTGTATCGGCCGCTCCACGCAGCTTGGACATATATTGTAACTTTAAAGAAGTAAAAGCTGTAAAATAAGGTAATTTCCTATAAGATTGTAAATGATTTTCTAAATAGATTAAAACACATAAATATCGATAATAAAAGCGAATTCCTAATTTAACCATGCAGCCACTCTATTCTAGTGTATCAGTAGTTCATTTGGCTCAATATTATGACAATGCAGCAAAAGTTATTTAATATAAAAAAGCGCCTTTCCGTACGATTTTTGTGTACGTTTTTTTCCATTGATAACCACGATATCTTTTATTTTTCTACTTTTTGAGGACAAAAATTATACAAATCCAGCAATTTTAAACATTAATATTGTTCTGAAAACACCAAGTTCCTTAAAAAACGCGATAAAACGAATTACTAAAATGGAGTATTTTAGATACTATTTCCCAACGAATAGTAG